GCTTGAGAACATGCAATATGGTCCTGATCCAGATCTGGTGCTCTGCGCTTGCTATTTGCATCAGAAGGAAAGCATCCATTGCAGCAAAAGAGATCTTTCCTTCCATTTCAAATAGCAGACATAGGACAAGGGTTGTCCTCTCCAGCCTTCCTATCCAAATCACCCCCATGTGCCTGCTATTTACTTTCCAAAAACCCAATCACAAAAAAATTAATTGCATGAATGGTATCCATGTTTACTTTGTCTGCCTTAGTATTATGGAAAGGTAGCATCTGCAGTGTGAATTTGTTTCATCTTTCTTCTGATAGAGCTTTTTTGCTCACCGCTTCAAACCCTTCCACAAAGGGCTGTGAATCTCATCAGTGGATGAGATTGTTGAAACAACAGAACCACCTCTTCACTGACCACGACTTCTTCGGTTTCACTTATCACCACCGATCTGAAACTTAGTTACCTTGGAATCTTCTCATCCCACATGTTTTTCCCCCTCTCCCCCCACCACTAGTTTTCTTTTGTAACTCATAGCAGTAAAGGTTGGGGGAGTTTCTCTATATCATTCCTAGAAGCTCATTTTCCAGTCCAATGTTTGTGGGTCTGCACAACTTCGTCCCAGCTCCTGCAGCATAATATGTGAGAATTGGAGAGCTTTGTCCTATCTATATCACCAGCTGCAGTGAAAGAAAACATCATTGGCAGACCTTTGGACGAGCAGCAAAGAAAAGCATGAATATGATGCTTGAAGCAAGGGTGATCTCGACCATTTTGAAGAAGTCAGTGCCCTCCTAGTTCTTGTGTCCAGAACTACCTTTCCTGGAGATAGTTAAGATCTATGTGCTCTGAGGGAAGCCAAAAGCCAAGAAGCCTAGACCATAGTTTTCGTGCCATCATCACCTGCCATCAGCCTGAAAGAAATCTTTTGTTCTATATTTTTGTTCCCTTTGCTGTTTTAGTGTTTTAAAATCTGCCTTGAATGCCTTGCTTGAAAGGTGATTTAGATAATAAATATTGGAATAAACAATAAAGTCGTGGCCCTTTATTCACTCCATATATGCTTTGATCTTCATTCTAGGGTGTTTGTGTGAATGAAGGGGCGTATTTAAGTTGTAGGCCTTCATGTTTATTGCTCTCACAGGCTTAGTAAGAAATGCAATGTACCAAAATTATCAGAAGACAAAGAACATAAAGAATAAAGTACCACATTTTTCTTTATCCCATTGACAATTTAAATATACATTTCCTGGGGGCACCAAACAAAATTGGACTCCTTCACAATGAGCCGTAAATCCTGAGACCCAAGAGCTTCTTGGTGGCCTGGAAGGGCCCTTTATATGCTCAATATGCAAGGGCTGAATAATGGTGGGAAATTATTCAAAGGATAATTATAGCTGTTGGTCTCAAGATGTTTTGTGGCATCTTTCATATATCATTCTTCAAAGCTCTTTCTGAGGAATGGTTTCTTATTGAGCTCGCTGGAGGCAAAGAAATTTGCTCATCATAATTAAAGACAAATAATTCACCCAGTTCTGCAGTGGGATCTTATGAATAGGGCCATGCTGAATATTTTCCCATTTGATCCTGGGACCAAAAATAGTTATTTCTTTCAAGTGAGTAGGAAATATCCCCCCCACCCAAATGTTTGAACTATTAGAGTATTCAACTTTTTAAAGAATCCTGTCTCCCATTGCAGATATGAAGTCCCTTCATTCAAAAGGCATTATCATTCATTTGAATGGAGAAGGTCAACCTACAGAAAGGAATACATGCAGACTGGCATGTTAGGGTGGTGCTGCAGAGGCACTCTATTAACACTGGCATAGCTGCCAATTACCAGGATGGCAGCAATGTCGGGGCTGCATGGGCACACCAGTTGAGCTATCTGGCACTCTTGCCAGTGTGCCTGCACAGTCCAACCTGGCTGCCACCCTGCTTTGCCCCCACAATGTCCTGTTGTGTGGCAGCAAGGCCAGTGTGGGGAGGATGGCTCTATGGCACCACACCACCAGTCCTGATAAATGCAGACCGGTTTGTTTCATTTTTACATTGTTTTTATTGCAAAATCATGAAGAAGGGGGGGAAGGAAGCAAGTAAGAAGAAAAACACAAGGAGAAGAAAAAGAAGGGTAAAATACCTGCCCACCAGCTCACATTAGCAATGCTTTCAACACCAGTGCATCAATCTCAGCTTACACATCTAGATCAGTACATGCCATTTAAATGTCCATACGTGCATCGAAGTGAAGTCAGTATTCATAGAAAGTATGTTCATATGTAGCAAGGGCATTAATGTTTTGGGACCATTGTATGATAGACAACATAGATTTATCCAACTAACCAGACTTATGCTTTAAGTCTCTTTGTGACCATTATGGCACACAAGCCTCATTCTTGTTATCCTGCCATTAATCCCACAATCTACTCTTGAAAAGGAAATCTAGGGTACCCCATAAATTTATCTTAGGATAAGCATATGGATCAAATTATAACTGAAAATATACTTGGGGAGGGCAGCTACCAAGGACTCAGCTACATTGACAAAGAAAAAGCGCTTTATATGTGTTGTTTATATATTCTAACACTGTGACATCAGATGGCGCTGTGGAGTTTCGTTTTTGCCAACCCAATTTCTCATACAAAATTTGCAACACATTTAACTGAAACGCTTCTTTGATGTGTCTAGATCCAGCCCAGGTGCCCTCTAGCATCTACTACATTTTACAGTTAGGAATACTGGGCCTTTGTTGAAAATCAACATAGCAGAATTTAGAGACAGAAAGAAGTGTTATAGTGAAAAGGAGCAAGAATGTCAGGTTTCATATCAATCCTAACATGTAATAATTCCCATATCATGCTGAATAATTATTCTGCATGTCTGAAAGACATGGCTTTAAGCTATGAATGAAATTACAGATCCGAGGGTGATGTGCTTTGGTCAGTATATCAGACTTGTTGAAACGTCATCAAACTAAAATGGTATGTTTGGACTAGAGATGAAGGGGGAAGCAATTCACTTTGCATTTAATACAAATGTACCTAATTCACACATGCTAAACCAACCAAAAGACAGCTATCATTTGAATTTTACAATGCAATTTTTGCAAGCAAAAATGTGTGCAGAAAAACATATATTAGGAAAAAGCATGCACCGAAATGATTATATTGGTGAAAATAATGGATCATTAGGAAAGGATTGCTTACAAAAAATGCATATTAGGTGAAAAGCAAGGAAATATGCATGGATGTCAGGGGTTCAGGAGCAGAGGCACAGGAAAGGGAGGAAATAGAGAGCGAGGGGGAGGAGTCCGAAGGAAATGTTAGCAATGACAGCGGTCCGAG